GTTCACAGACTTTACCCAATCATATAATGTCAGCATTATATTTGTGCATAGGGTATGTGAAGGGGTAGTGCAAACGAAAAACGATCGGAGTCAGCCTACTTCACAAGCTGTTTTTACGTTTTAAATGCTTAGGTGCTAGCCAGTTGTTGGGATCACTTCAATATCTAATATATCCGCAGTCTGAGAAAATGTGTATTGGCAGGGTTTTGGATGAGCTTGTAAAAGCATTTGTATGCTCTCTTTTGTTGATTTGTTCTGCTACTTAACAGCATGCCAGCGATGCATTTTGCTAGTTAGGACACACTAATGACGCAGTTTCACAAGTGGTTTAAGTATATCTGTGTCTGTGCTGCCACTGAAAGTGGTGGTACAAGCCCCACTTCACCTGCCACCTTACTTGAACCAGTCCTTGTGCTTCTGTTTGGATGGGTGGAGGAACTGCTCTATCTGAAAAAGTCTCGTTTTCTGTTGGATCAGTTCTCTTCTCTGGCTGCTGCACAAGTGCTATTGCTGACACAGTTGGTGGTATCAGGAAAACATGAAAGAGAAGGTGGGACTATCACTTTCGCTTGCAGTCAAGTCTTTGATTGCAGTTTCACAGTCAGTATAATCCAGTCACAAATTACATGTGTATTGATTACATGCTTTGTTCTTGTACGTTTTACAGAGGCTCTGTGCTACTCAAACTATACTACTGTTTTTGTGAGCTCTTTGGATTGCAAATTTCAAGATGATTCCTGGTTCAATTTAAACAGTAACTGCAAATCATGAGTTATGCTTTTATTTCCAAAATAATTTTTGTTCTGGGATTGCTCGTGTTTAGCTACAATCCAGATGAGGATTACTTTGGAAATTGTAAAGCACTTTCATGCAGCCTTCTTTCCTCATCGTTGAAGTGTGGATATCATGGTGTAAGCAAATCATATCCTTCATGCTCCAGTGACCTGTGATCTTGATTTCAAATTTCAGTAAGTTGGGCAGACTTACTACATTTCAAACAGAAGTCTTTAAGTAATGGCCCTAAACAAGCCAGCCTATCGTACTGGGCATGTATATTACATATTGATTTCACTGCACATCTGTAGATGCATATGTTTATCTTTGGAGATCTTAAACAGTCACAAAGGGTGTTAAGATGGCAGGAGGTGTGAAAGCCTACTTTTTGAGCTGCTGGTGCCCCTAATGTAAAACTTCCTATGCACTGAAGTATAGCATGCCCTAGAGAATGGATGTAATTTAAAACTGCGTTTCAGAATGCAGTATAGATTGCCAGAAATGCTGTGGTTTTTGTCATGTATGTTCAAAGAAAAAACACCTTTAGAAAACATTCAAATTTAGTTAAGTAATCCTTTTTCCCCCCATCTTTCAAATAAAATAAAATGGTCAAATAAAGTGGTCAAAAAAGATGTATAGAAAACACAACAGAAAGTCCCAGTAGAGTGTAAGGTAGCAGATTATTCACCAGAAAATTAGGAATTATGGTTCCCAGAGCAATCAAAATTTGACATAAAAGTTATACGGTTTTTTAAACTTGCACTACTTAACAAAAGTTGATAAGGAAATAGTTAATCCCCTTACAGTTATGCAGTTAGTATACACACCCACCAGATGGAGCTTCTGGCACCAGTGGAAAATTCCAGAAATCAAGCAAGAATGAGAAGTGTGTGAATGACTTAGGAGCTCCCTGTCTGCTGGACTGCAGAATATATATATATTTTTAACCTTTAAAAGAAATGAATGGAGAGTAAGAAAGATCAGCCTTACTGATTGCTCTCACTGGAACCCTGGTTTGTCTTGCACTGAAGTCCTTCCTCAGCAATGGGACGTTGGAGCTCTTAGTGTAAGAGTAACCAGTTGAAGCTAGACAATGAGCTCCAAAAAAATCTGCGATAAAACAGAGAATTTCATAAACCCTTACTGAAGATTGCCGTTTCTGTGGTTATATGCATGTTAACGTTTCTGCTTAAGAATTTCCTGCAAAGGGATTTTCCTAAGTGGGTTGTTTTTAGTACCACATTTTAGGTGAACCTACCATCTCCCTGTCCCCAAAGGCATATTTGCATAGTATAAAAGTCAAAAAAGAAGGACAGTCTATTGATGTCCAGGGAGGCAGGGTGAACTGTCCTTTTTCTTGTTTGAGACACATGTCCAGGGAGGCAGGGTGAGCTCTCCTTTTTTTTTTGTTCAACACACAACCTGAATTTTTTTTTTCTGAAGTGGTTTTTAAATTCTCTTTTTAAAATCTTTTTTGATGAAGGGACTTTTCAGAAATAGTTGAACTGTGAGAGGAGAGTTGGGGGTCCTTATGTACATAATGCTGCAAAAGTCATAAAATGGATTGACCAGATGTTGAAAAAATTTGTTAATTTCCTTCAGTTCCAATAATCTTAGCTTTAAAACTGATGTCAGATTTTTTCAGAGGGCTTGATTTTTGGTTTTCAGTTTGCATCTTTCTAAAGTGCCAAGTCCTGTTTTGACTATAGATACAAGTTGAAGGACCATCAGGCCTGGGGACTTTAGCACAATTACGTGCTGCCTTAAGTTTGTGTACTGAAGCGCTGCATCCAGCGTGGGAGCTATGCACACAGATTTGTCTAGTTGGAGTTAAATGTGCTTAGGTATAAGTTAGCTTAAGACCGTGATGTAACATGGGCAAAAGCTTGGTGTTGCAGATGCCTCAGCTGATGATGATGTGGAGGCGCTCTGCGTTTAAAATGTTGCCATGAGAATAGTGTGCATGCTGTTAGAGCCTCCGTCCTAGGATTATAGCAGGCTTGGAGAATGAACCATTAGTTGTCTGGCATTTCAGATGTGCTGTGTAACTGTAAATCTCATTACCTTCGCAGGCGATGTGGGTGCACGGCCCCTCTGCAAATTAGCCCAGAAATACTTAAATAAGGAGGAGAGAAAAGAGTCTGGCAGAAGAAAGAGAAAACATTTGATGTAAGTCAGTGATAGCTGTGTTGGGAGTAAACTACTCAGTCAGTGTAGGTAGGGGAGATATTCAGGTGCGATTCTTAACATCTCAAGGAAATTTTTGTCAATGTTTAGTTCTACCAGCTTCTCTGTTCTGGCTGCTTCTCCCTGGTATTTCTGCTCCTGTTATTTTTGGTTTGCTTACTCTCCCCTGTACCATCTTTTTGCTCCCTGACCATCACTCATTCTTGCTCAAGTGTCTTGGAGTTTTCAGGTCCCAGAGTCCCAGCCTCTGTCTGGCTGCAGGGGCAGACTGTTATTTTCTTCTTGAGAGTATAAAGCGCTATATAGTATCATTTAACCTCCCTATGTGAGAAAGGCTGTAATCTCTACTGCTGTAGGAACCATAGGGTTTTTTCTTTTTTTCCTTTTTTTTGTATTTTAAAAATCTCACTCATGTTTTATTAAGTTGTCTCTGCAAATGGACTTTTGTGGCAGGATTTTTAGAGCATGCTACTGAATGCAATTAACAGGGCAAGTCATTAGAAGCAGAACTTATTTTAAATGCAGTTAGAACAGGGAGCCTTAAGCAAAAATACTGAAAAATGAACAAGGCTGCTTCACTGAGCTGAGGAACATGCAGCTGCTATCACGTATCTGATACACGTTATTATGTTGCGCCTTTATATGTAAGCCAAGAACTTCTTTAACTTAAAATACTAGCAAAATGAAGACTAAGGAAAAAATAACTTTTGGATTATACAAAGTCAGAAAAATGCCAGAAGCTCGGTGATCCTGGTCTGCAATGCAATGCAGGGAAATGATACTCAGTCTTTGGGAGGCCCAGTATGGGATAAGATACTTCCCTGTGCTCGATCGTCCTATCTTCAGACTGATGCACTAATTGTTACTAACTCGCTATCAAGTGAGTTCGGTCCTCAACTACAAGTGTGCTTTCTGCAATGAGGATTCAGTGGGAGAGAGGTAATTTGGACTTGACAAAGATAGGAAGGAAAACGTATCCTTCTAGTTGGAAGATAATCTTAGGTACTCGAAGATATGACCAGTGGTCTTGTTAAAACACATGCCGCGCTCAATTTTGCCTCAGAATGTGATTTTGTTTAAAGAATATCATCTTTTTAAATTTCTTAAAACATTTTAGTATTATCTGTTAAAGCCATACTTGCTAAAGAAAAATAGTCTGTACTTCAAGCTCTGGACGCTCTCAGTCTGAATGATCAACGGAGATAAAAATCTTAACAATTTTAAACTATAAAAATCTATTATGTGGAAAACTAATAAGTGACTCAACAAATGTTGCTTTTATAAACTTCAGATTTGGTTGTTCCTGACTTCATGATGCTGAAGTTGTGTGTCTTGTGTTTCCAAACTGTCCAAAACTGAATTTCGTTCCATGGATGATGGGAGTTGAAGAGGTATCCGGTGACTTCCTATAGAAATAATCCTTTACGTGCCATCACCCACAACAGTTTACTTCAGATCCTCCTGCTAGCAGCTATGTAACTGAAAACTTGCATTAATTTGGGAAGTATTCGGATGAATTTCCTTAGGGTTGTGTCTGACAGCCATGTCACCTTTTTGATCTCCCGCAGTCTTGTAATTTAAGGTGGGACTGTGTTTGTATGTGAACCTTCTAGGAAAAATTACCTGTACGAGGAAGTGCTGTTGATATCATATACTTCACCTATGCAGAGTGCAGCGGCCTGTGCTGCAGGTACTAATAGCTCAGCGGAGATGTAAACTGAGGCCCTAACCATTTAGGTCAAAAGCTTCTATGAAATGTGAATAGGAGCACTCGTCTTGGTATCCTGCTGGATTTCTGACTTGAGTAACTTAATTAAATTCTGAGTATCAATCTCAAGTAGCCTCACCTAGAGGAATCTATTTAAACTATAAACCTACTAAAACTTTTTGCAGCACTGTTAACCTTGCTGGATTACACTTCACAGTAGCCTCCGTGTCAGTAAAGGTACCGTATATGTGGTTTATAATGAGCTTTGGAGTCCTTCACAATGAAACGTACTTTATAAATGTAAGATTGCCCTTATTACATTTCTTATCTCTTGTCTTTAACGCTTTGTTTTGTACAGCAGGATATGATCCTTCTTCTATGTCCGGGCTTTGGCCTCACACAGTAGGTGTAATATAATCGCTGAGGTGGGCGTTCTGGAAGGAGAATTATTTTTGGAGGCTTTTGCATGAAACTTGTCCAATGAGTCTGAGACGCCCAAGCACCATTAATTTTGGAGGTAAATGCCTCATAATATGTACTGAATAGAATGGGAAGAGTTAAGCTTTTTGTTCGGTGAGGTATGGGCAAAACAGTAGTTGAAAGGATAGTTCTGTTTGCTTCTGACATTTGGACGTTTTGCACTTAAAGGAACACCAACTTGAACTCTAGAAAAATTGGGGGTGAGGGCGACCTTGAGCTTCAAATCTCTTTGGCAGCTTCACTGGGTTGTAATTAGTTTCCTAGTTTAAATTTTTTCCCCCTCTCTTTTGGTTTATTAAGACCAACAGAGGCAAAAGTGAAAGATAATTTTGACTACGGGAGAAAAGTAAGGCTGCCTGAAGTACTGTCTCATGTTGAAATTACCCGAGAAAAAATTGTGGCTTGTAATATGAAAGTTAAAAGACAAAAATGTAATTTAAGTTGGATGTCCCTTTAAGTTATTCCTTGGAATTTGACATTTCTAATTTGAATCACAATTTAAATGTTTAATTTTGGAATTTTAACTAAAATGTTTTTATTGAGCTGTTTTCTATCATTTGTATATAAATTGATCTGTCAAAGTGGGCTGGAATACGTCTAATGGAGGGGAGGGAGGAATACTGTAGTTAAAAAAAAAAAAAAAAAAAAAAAAAAAAAGAAGAGGGGGGGGGGGGGGAGAAGCACAAATGAAAGAAAATACAACAATTACCTCCCAAAAGGAGTCTAAAAAAATGGCAGATTTTAAATGTCAGTACTTGCCTTGGAGAAAAAGATCATTTGCATGGAATATATGATTTAATTTAAATTTCATAATATTGTTATTGGCGCAAAACCAGATTACCGATGATATTGTAAAGATAATGTATGTTTTAAAAGTTAATAACTCTGATACGGTAAACAACAGTAATGTAGTATTGGCACACAGCCAATAGAGAAATTATTTTAAAGATTTGCAGTGTCTAAGTTGCACTGGTGATGGTGATCCTGGATTTTCACTGCTGCCTGATTTCAGTGATAACTGTTACTGAGAAATATTTAATATTTTAAAACAAACTGTCTAGCGGAGAGAGATCTCATACTTTTAAAGTGCTATTTTTAGCAGAATCTGAATTTTATGCACTAACCTGTTACCAAACTGCATGCTTTTTTATGATTATGCTATATTTCACTTCGCTGCAGCCCTTCCCTTTTAGTGTTATCAGGAATATTAAGAAATTTGGTTTTGAGTTACTAGAATGAAAAATATGTGGGAATCATAAGACATACCTAACAAAGGCAATGGACTAGAGTAGTGGGTTTAAGTCAAGGGGGAGGGATATATTACACAGGGAAAAAGCAGGTTTTTAGAATAAGGGTTTGAAACATTGCTTTTTCTGTAGGAAAAAGATGGAGTATTGCATGCTGGGAACAAGTGCTTTCCATAAGGTAGCTAAATTTTAAAAGTACATTTGTTTCATTTTGTTTTAGGCTTTATTTTAAGTATCCTATTCTAATCCAGTAATTTTGTCCTTTCTGCAGTTTTCATTTTGATTAGACATCTGCAAAACTTTCTTCTAAACAAAAACTCAAAAACCCCCCTGGGCCACAACTGCAGTTCAGCATACTTCTGAAACTTTGCTCAATGTGTACAGAAGCGTATTTAAAGAACATTAGTAATAGCATAAATCTTGTCTGTGGTCTGTTTTGTTTTCCATTATTCCAGAAATGCAGATATTAACCCTAATAAGGTTAAAGATGTGAATGTGTTGGATGACTAAAGAGAAATGACCAAAAGCAAAACAATTTGTTAAAAGGTAGACCTGACTGAAATATTTTTTGGGGGGGGGGGGGGGACAAAAAAAGCTATTGGCAGAAGCTCCCAGTAAATAGTCAAAATTTTTTTTCCTTTGTTCTTGTGAATATTTATTGCAAGATATAACATATGTAGAGGAAGTTTGAGTAGATGAGTCACAACTTCATTAACTGCAGTTAAATGTTTTGGCCTGATTTCCCGAGAAAACAAAGGTTATACAATTTTTCAGATTGTGGCTTATCTCTTATTCCCCTCCCCTGCCCCGGACAAAAGTTGGCCCATTGCATCCAAATTTGATAGAGATGGGGGTCTGAAAAGATTAAAGAAAAAGAAAGTTTCATTAAACATAGATCTCCAGTAAGATGAGAAACCGGGGTCTGAACACAAGTTTCCTTCACAGCAAGCCTGTTCTTTCGATTGGACGTAGCAGTGCCAAGTGGCTGCTAAAACTCTCTGTGGGAGAAGTTGTAAGGGGGAGGGGAGAGAAATCATACTGCTTAGGCCTGGGATTTTAGGGGTTTGACTTTTGAATGTTGGGTGTGCGCCGACTGCTGAGGTGCCAGTTAGGTGCTGTGCCTAGAGTTGAATGTAGCAACTTGCCTGTCATTAGATAATGCAGAGCTAGCAGAGAGTTATGAAGGAAAGAGAGGCAGCAGCAAATTATTCTTGGTTTAGTATTTGAAGTGTTGAGTTCCAAATGAGAGTTGTTGGTGCCTGACTGAGTGCATGTATAGTATGTTATTCCATGGAATACAATATTATTACAGGTACAGCAGCAGCTCATGATGCCCCGTAAAGCTTTTCTTTCCCAGAAAGAAAAGCAGGCTCGTGCCAGGGAAAGGGATATGTTAAAAAAGAGGAGGAGGCGACAAGACTATCTCAAAAGAAGCGTGGAGCCGCAGAGAAATACAGAAACAATAAAATGGCACAGGGATGATGAGAAGAGGAGAGAAAATGAGCAAGTTAAGGACAAAGATATCAAGAAGCGGTGGAGACAGGATGAGAGAGAACGACGAAGGAATGTGGACGCTATGAATTGGCGCAGGGAAGATGAGAAGAGGGAAAATGAGCGAGGTAAGGACCAAGAAGCCAAGAACCAGCAAAGAAAGGATGAGGAGGAGAGGGGAAAAGAACGACGAAAGGATGGACCTTTTGAAGTAGCAGAGGGATGATGAGGGGGAGAGGGCAAAGGATAGAGTAAGAACAGCTCTATTTTACAAGCATGTGCAGAAATAACAGAAAATATGCATATCAGTTACAAATGTATAAGAAATTACAGTTCTTGCAAGAGCTAATTATGTTAATAGGGCTTACAGGATCAATCTGAATATAGATGCATACAGACTCAGTCACAATGGGATAGAGCAGGCTGGGTTTACACGTTGCTTTTGAAATTTTGTTTTGCACACATGCTCACACGTATTAGTTTCTTGAACGGTGCAGTTGGTAATACTGTGTTTCAGATCATCGAGAAGTTCAGGTTTTCTCAGTCTTCATAATATGAATAAACAACAGCATTAGGAAGGGAAGGGTCAACCAAATGTGCTCATGGGAGAAGGTAAAACAGTGAATTTTTTCATAATGTGCCCAAGAGGTGGTTGTCATATTGCATCCCCAGTTTTTATCCTAAGATAAATTATTTTACAAAAATTGTATAGAAGTGTAAATTTCAGCGTGCTTTGAGAAGTAGTCAGTTCGAGATGTGTATTTCAGTGTGGTTAGATCTAAAGTGTTGGCACCTCAAAAAAATCTGTAAAACTGACAAACAGGAGATGTTTACATAGAAGTAGGTAGACCCATTTTAAAATGCATTTTTGTTAAATTTTACACAGGACTTTTATCTGTAGTTAAAAAAAAAAAGTTTTGCAGTAGCCCTAAAACCCGAGCTGTGGGCTTGTGAACTGGCAACAGATTTATACTAGTTCTTTGGAGTACTCAGACTCTCATCAGCTGGAAATCCAAACCCATTTAGAAATTAGAGCCCTTGGAGTAAAAAGGATGGTGCCTTTGTCAAGCACCATGGCAGTTTGCTCTTATCTTTACGGTTGGGGATGTTGCAGCCCTTGCTCTTGGGAGATTTGACTTTGCCTGCAGAGTGTTCACAATAAACACTGAGGGAAGGGGTTGTCACACTTAATTATTGGAGAAATAGTGCCTCTTCTAAACAGTAGTAGACCTCTTCTAAACAGTAGTAGGCTTTGCTATCTGGAAATCAGAAATGGATTCAGTTGTCTTCATCTTTTGGATTTTTCTGTCTTTAACATTCGAGTTAGGACTAAAGAGCTACACTAATTTTGTAACTCCCCAAAGGTGGTTTGGCACTCCTGTTTTCAGTAATCAGTTGTGATGAGGCAACCTGGAAGAACACAGCCACAATAACAAAGTGAAGAGTTGCGTTATTAATAAGACTACTAACTCCTACGTGGCTGGGTACTTCTAATTTTTTTTTTTATTATTATTCTACAAAACCAAAACGCTCGACCTATTGAATGTGCATATGGCATCTTTTTTTCTAGTGCTGATTGTTCCAAATAATCCCAAAAAATGAGGCTAAAATTTTTAGGGGGAAGGGCGAGGGGTAAATGTTGCTTATTTCAAGTATCTGTATGTATTTGTGAGGGAAGAATGCTCTTATTAAATGAGTTACCAGCTTTCTATCCCTATGTTCTTGCCAGTGTAAGAACTTCATTATAGCCCTGGGAACCATTAGCTAGTAAAACAGCGTATCACTGGGAACTGATAAATGCATGGCAAGAAAAAATATATTTGCTTTCAGGAGTCTGTCTTTATTCTGTCACTTCTTTCTCTCTTTTCCTTTTTTTCTAATTTTTACTTATTTGGTAAGGAAGTTTTGTCTTGTAGTCTTCCTTTTCTTGATTGACTGCATATTCCAACTGATCTGTTCCCAGCTCTGTGAACTTAGCAGAGAAACTCGGAACTGTGTTCATAAAATTCCCGAAGGAAGTAAACGGGAATAACTGGATAGTGGTATTAGAGGAAGAACTGGGAAGGTACTATCAATGCTGATAGCACATACTTTTCTTTATTTAAAAAAAATAAAAATAGTAGTCCATTGGCTTGATTTCCCCTACTTCAGAAGAATCAGTGGGCGTTTCGGAGAGCATTGGGATACCTAACCTAGGCATTCATGTTTGAGATGCCTAGGTAAAAATAAAGTGTTAGGGATGCGTTTTTGTTAATAGCTTTTGGGGATTTCATAATGTTTTGACGTGCCATTTCACAGTGATGTTCTTTATAAACTGTGAGTGAAAACACCTTCCTCAATGAAATGTTTAGGGTCACAGGCTTAGCTCGTCTGCAATTCTGTGCTTGCTGGAAATGCGATGGTTTTCAGGTACGCGTAAAAAGAAGATAACCTAGATTAGTTCGCTCGTGCTGCCTTGGTTCCTTTATGCAGTAAGATGTTTCTCCAGATTATTTCTTTCGGTCTTTAAGCTATTTCTGGATGAAAACCACAATTTTACTAGAAGTACTATGGCATCAGTAATTTATTATGCTTACTGCTTGTAGGAACTGTAGCAAAGCTCAATTATCAAACAAGCATATTAAGCACTTTGAATAATGTCCCAAAAAAAGAATAACTATGAGGATTTGGAATAGTGGTTGAAGATTTTAGTTGAGAGAGAGAAGCTGTTTTGTCGTGAAACTGATGCATCTTTTCCAGAATCAGAGTAGTGTTGTTACCTTGTGGGTGTTTTGAACCTATGTACTGGAAGATGCTCAGTTTCATTACTCTAGGTAACGTTGGCAGAGCTAACACTTGTTACCTGATAGTATTAAAGGTAGGAAGCTTGCTGCAAGGCAGTTCTTCAGAGGAGGTCCAAAATACAAAAGACCCATTGGAGAATTAAGTTTTCATTTACACTGAAATAAAAACAGGTTTTTGAGTTTAAAGACAAGTGGAAGCTGCTGCTTATGTTCTTTATAACCTCTAAGAATTTGACTGATAAGAGTTTTCTGTTGTCACCCACTCCAGTGTCTTTTTCCCTCTCTCTCTTCTGGGTGCCTTAACTTCCTCCAAGGTCATAGCTCTCAAGTTGTGAATACAACATATTGTGTATAAGATCAATACTTCAGTCGTAAAGGAGGACTGTTCGCACTGAAAAAAAATATGTAGCGTAAGAAAATTCTAACTGTTGTGATATGGAAGTCCAGGGCAGGCATACAGTATTGAATTTACATCAGTTAATTGAGTAAACAGTAAAACATCAGTTTTCTGAGTAATTGCACAGTAATCTTTTACGTCTCCTTTTAGAATCAGTTCTTCAGGTGGTTCCAGTCCCTTGGTAACTGACTCTTTAAAGGACTGAACTGCGTGGCTATGTTAATCTGAACGTTAGCCTGAAGTGCTTTAAGCTGTACAGTGAGGATAGTTTATTTTTATTAAACACAAAAAAGATGGTTTAAAAATCACTGAAAAAGTAACACTGCAGGAGGATGTGCCAGACTTGACACTCTGGATGCCTTTAAAATAGCGACTGCAATCGTTTCCATCTAAAGTGCTAGTAAGAGTAGCAAGTTGGTGAAGAGGTAATTTGGAGTTGAAAGTCACAGTGAGCCTATCTAGATGCTAAAATCTGTAAAGAAAAGATATGTTGAAGAATTTGGGGTTGGCTAAAAGTTCTCTGTGACTATCCCGTCATTACTCTTATGTGCTAGACTCTTTTCTTCCTGCTTTTTTTTGTCCTGTGTTATAAAAAGGAGCAGTTCTGATCTTCTGTATCTTGGATGTTTGTGCAGTTAAGTTGCTAAACTAAGCAGAAATCTCTTCTAGGAATAGGTTTCTTCCTCCTGTTCCCTTGGATTATATTTTTTTCCTGAATATTGTTCACAGTAGTGCTTCTGAGAGCATTTCAAGGTGTTATGCAATTTTTTCCCTCCTACTGTTTTGTGTTTTTTTTTGCCTGACTGAGGCTAACAAGCTCATAGAGTACAGAAAAATCCCTTTGCTGTGAAGCAATAATAACCTTGAAGAGAGGTCCCTTTTTATTATACCCTTGAACCCATCTCTCTGAAAATGCTAAAGAAGCCTTTGATTTTGACAGAATGAGGCACAATGTTGTTGCCTCTTCTGGCCTGCAGTTTTAGTTGCTCTCCTAAAACTTGGTCATAATTTCTATTTAAATCAGCCTGTATTATGTTCTGGCCCATTCTCATTTCAGGATGTGATTCTGTTGAGTGGACTGAACTGCTGGTTCCTGCAGACTTTTCAAATTTTAGAAGTTCTTGTAGTCGGTTCACATCCTAATATTGGGGTTGTAAGAGGCACATACCAGAACTGCAGTTGAGAATAAATTCTCCCCTCCCCTTCCTTCCTGGGACTTCAGAGCCTGTTAAAAGCCCCAAAACGGTTCTAGCGTTTTCCCGAGCACCATGTGCGTGCTTTGAGTTATATTTTTTTTTGTGTGTGTGAGACTTCTGAACTCAGTTCATCTTCTCTAGGAGTGCAGACTTAACAAAATAAAAGTCTGTTAACGGTTGTCCCTTCACTTAGCTTGCAAATAACTGTAACCTTAATGGCCTGAAAACACTCCTTGCACCTTTCCCTTTGTAGTTGTTTTTTTTTTTAATGCACTTAAGACTAGGCAGACTCTTTTCTATCTCTTTTAATCAGAGACTTCTTCATTCAGGTCTTTCTCTTAACCGATGCGCTCTACCTGGGAAACTTAGCTTTTGTTTGTGCTTTGCAATGGTGGCTGCTATCCATAGCAGTGGAATAGTACTGCATGAAGTTGGACTACAATGTGTTTGCATCTTCAAGATGTGAAATTGAAAAATCAAAACTGCTGTATAAATACTTTCTAAAGTAATGATATTTTGCTCTTTTGTCGCTTGTCTTAACCACTCACTTTGGCCACTGAACTGTTCTAGGAATCAGTACCTGGCCTTGGAGCAGACCTTTATGCTAGGTACTGCATAGATACAGAGCAAAAGAAGGTGCTAAATATTTCTTAGGCAGCTATTTTGCTTATCTTACAGTTACTTTTGGACTGGTATAGTGAGACCTTTTTGTGTGCAAACACACTAAAGATGAGAGAGATCTTGTTGCTGAA